AATATATATATATATATATATATATAGAGAGAGAGAGAGAGAGAGAGAGAGAGAGAGAGAGAAAGAGAAACATGTATTATAATTTACGCAGTTGTCCAAGTAGGTAATTGTTGCGTTTATGTAAGTATATATTCAGTATATGTTGTAATGAAAACATGTCTTCTATGAAAAACTATATCCTTTTCTTTTTCTTCTTTAAGTTTAAGGTTCATCGAAACACACGTGAATTGATAGTTTTCATTAATGGCATATGTATCTTTTTTTTTTTTATATATTAAAGGTATATGTTTTTTATATTTTGTGGATGGAGTCGCCTATGATGATTTTCATTCATTATGATGAATGGACTATGTATATAAACTATACAAATACACAAAAAAAATAAAAATAAAAAAACAAAAATCAGTTTATTCTTGTTTTAAAATCAATTTTTGAATATTTTGTGTATATGTTGCATTTGCGTATTTTTTTCGTAAAAATTGCAGCTACAACGAAGTATATGTTGAATATAAAAGTCAGTATAAATAGCTTACGAGCAGTAAGCACCTACCTTTCAATCCCCCTGCTTGCCTTACCTAAAAAGCCTAAAAAGGCAGGGGACTTAGCTACTAGTCCGAAAGCCAGAAGCCGAAGGAAAATGAGTTGAGTAGTTCAGTGACCGCTAGGGATGAAGACAGGGATTCCGGGCCGGGGAACACTGGTGAAAGAAGCCCGCATACCCTCTCTTCTCTCTGTAACTAGAGAGGTAGGCAAACCTGAGTTTAGAGCCACCTCGATTCGGGATGTCGGAACACCAACCGAATCCTAAACTGACTTCGGAACAGGTTCGAGAGCTTCGATCGAAAGCCTTTTATCTAGTGTCAGCTGATCCTTCAGCGTCTGCACCAACTAAATCGAGCAATAAGCTTATTGCTCCAGTGAGCGAAGGCGACATAAAAGCTGTCCTTAAGGACATCGCGGGGGATAAATCACCGGGCCCAGATGGATACACATCATCCTTCTACCTGAAGAGTTGGGACATTGTAGGAGCTCCAACCAGGCATGTCTGGATCTACGACCCTGGAGCTACTTCTTTTCCATCTTTGTACGGCACATCTATATCTGTCTTGCCCAACAACTGGCGAAGCTGAGCCGAGGCCTCTTATGTCAGTCCTTCCGCCTACTCAACACAGGGGCCGATCCTGTGCATGCTGGGCTGGGAAACAAGGGCCTCGTCTCTACTAACAAAGATTTGTGCTACCTGAGATCTTGAAAAGAAATCGCCCAAGGGGTTATAGCAATTTTCATGTCTTGAATGGGCAGTATATATTGAGTTTTTATTTAGTATATATATCTAGTATATGTTGCAATATTCTCTTTATATTTAGTATATGTTGTTATCCCAGCTGGAGAAAGCATAGTGGCGGCGAGACGGCAGCGGCATCCACAAAACAACCAAAGCATGGACAGATTGTGGCAAAATTGTTCACGGTAGTAACTACTGGCAGCGGCATCCACAAAACAACCAAAGCATGGACAGATTGTGGCAAAATTGTTCACGGTAGTAACTACTGGTAGTCCTGAATAGTTCTTGTCCAACAGTATCCCACTGCAAGCCAAAAAATAAAAATAAAAATAAAAAATAATAGATAGGTTGACTAAAATATAAATTCTGATATATGTGTAATTATTTTGTTGTGATTCAACAATTTTACAAATAATATTAAATCAAGTGTAAAGTTGATATATAAATAAAATATTATTGTACGTGGTGCAAATTTCTATAATCTATTTTAATTGAACTTTTTTTAATATTAAATATTAAATTTAATGGACTTGTTATGTAATAAATGTAAACAGGTTGGGTGCAAATTACGAAATTCATAAATTATTGAACACTTCTTTGTACACAACGTTTTTTGTTTGATTTGGTGGTAAGTCATCATCACCACAAGCGATTTATTATCTGCTTTGTATAGTTTTACTTCATTTGGGAAGTTGTATTTAGAGAAGTTGCAATTAGGTAGTTATATTCTTATGCGTGTCATCCTTGCGCAAGGGCCATGCTAATCTTCTCTATGTCGATAAAATTGAAACGATATAGAAAAGATTAGCATGACCCCTATGCGAAGATAACACACATAAATCGAGAAATAGGTAGTTGTATTCTTGTGCATAGTTAATTATGTACTCTTGATTTTCAATGTTAATTCCAGAGTGGATGGTTACATTTATTTTTTTGTATAATTGACCTGTACGCTTCACTGTCAATATTCATAATATGTTAACGTTTTAAAGAACAAAAAAATAGTGAACAAGGTGGTGCATAGTTCTCTAAAACGTGCTCGAACTAGGAAAAATTTTCAAAGTCATCTCCCAATGTGAATTAGTAGTACATTAAAACTCTACAATTTCGTTAACCAATGTTACACTTAAGGATGCTATATTTCAGCCAAAAAAAAAAAAA